GGTCGCCGCGCCCTGCCCCTCCAGGGGTCCACGGGCGGGCACGCACGGCCGGCCCATGAGAGCCGAGCCCGAATTCCGGCTGCACCGCCAGCGCCGACGCCTTTGTCCTCTCTCTCTCTCTCTCTCTCTATCTATCTCCCTCTGGAGGGGATGCAAGGAAGTAGGAGGAGGGGGCTTTGGACATCGCATACGACCCCGGCCTATTCACATGCGAGTACCTATCGCGCCACACAAACTCAGGACTTTCAGGATGAGACTTCCAAGCGGTCGTGGATCACCGAACTCTGTGGGTCGCCTCATCCTTAAAGATGGGCTTAGGCGCCCTGAAGCCTATAGCGTACTTGGCAGCTCCTCCTCCTCCTCCTCCTCCTCCTCCTCCTCCTCCTCCCCGCCTCCTCCTCCTCCTCCTCCTCCTCCTCCTGCTCCCCCTCCTCCTCCTGCTCCTCCCCGCCTCGTCCTCCTCCTCCTCCTCCTCCTCCTCCTCCCCCTCCTCCTCCTCTCCTCCTCTCTCCTCCTCCTCCTCCTCTCGTCCTCCTCCCTCTTCTTCCTCCTCCTCCCTTTCCTCCTCCTCCTCCTCCTCCTCTCCTCCTCCTCTCCTCCTCCTCCTCCTCCCGCTTCCCCCTCCTCCTCCTCCTCCTCCTCCTCCTCCTCCTCCTCCTCCTCCTCCTCCTCCTCCTCCTCCTCCTTCTCCTCCTCCTGCCCCCCCTCCTCCCCCTCCCCCTCCCCCCTCCTCCTCCTCCTCCTCCCTCCTCCTCCTCCTCCTCCTCCTCCTCTCCTCCTCCTCCTCCTCCTCCTCCTCCTCCTCCTCCTCCTCCTCCTCCTCCTCCTCCTCCTCCTCCTCCTCCTCCTCCTCCTCCTCCTCCTCCGCCTCCCGCCTCCTCCTCCTCCTCCTCCTCCGCCTCCTCCTCCCTCCTCCTCCTCCTCCCCCCCTCCTCCTCCTCGTCCTCCCTCTCCTCCTCCTCCTCGCCTCCTCCTCCTCCTGCTCCCCCTCCTCCTCCTGCTCCTCCCCGCCTCGTCCTCCTCCTCCTCCTCCTCCTCCTCCTCCTCCTCCTCCTCCCCTCCTCCTCCTCCTCCTCCTCCTCCTCCTCCTCCTCCTCCTCCTCCTCCTTCCCATGATGAACCACTCCCATGGTGGCGGCGGCTCACGAGCTGGCGCTCGGCGCATGCGGCACGTCTCCCGCCCTCACGCCCGCCCGCCCGCGGGCCAGGGGCCCCTCCCCCCAGTGAGCACCTCCTCGTGCGCACGTGTCCGGGAGATGCAGACATGGAGTAGGGTGTGGACCAGCGATAGGTCCCGTTCCCTTTCAAAATCCCAGAGATCCAGCGCATTGCGAAGTAAACAAAAAACATGACCGAGGTGTTTCTCAGCTTTCGGCCTCTAAAGGCCCTCGCCGGGCCCTGGGACCGTCAACAAAACGACTCAGGATGAAACTCCGGTCCTGGGGAATGGTTCGAGCCTTCCAGGGACTCCGTACTGAAAAAAGCCTGGCATCGGATCTCTGGGGAAGTGGATTCAGGCGCGTGGACCAGCGACGGATCCCGTCCCTATCCGAGATTGACGCGCTCCGTGGCCAAACCAGGCGGCACTGACGCCAGGATTCGGGGGTGGGGGGGTCCCGATCCGTGCTCCATGTTGGCGTGTGCCCGACACGTTGGCGAGTGCCCGAATGAAGAGGAGCACGAGAGTCAAGCTGCAATAGGTAAGCACACGTTTCCCAGGTCCGCGCTGTTTTCTCGGGTCGGTGCGGGGTTCCCCTGGCGCTCCCCCCCCGACGCCGGGGGGTGCAGCGCTGGCTCGGACAATGCAGGGTCAGCTCACCGCCAACTGAGGCGGTTGGCGGTTGGGCTGGGCACGTTCGCCGCCGCAGCATGCCCTCCGGCTCGGACGCAAGGCCCAGCATCGTCTGACCGATCGCCATCCGCACTGGGCCATGGCGGCCTTGGTGTCCTCTTCGGCCTTCTCGGGGCCCCCTCGGGGGGCCTCACGGTCTGTCTTGGAGCTATATTGGACGCCTCCTCGGTTCGCTCGGCGTGTTCCGCGTCTTCCCGCGGAGTGTAGCGCAAGCCTCCTGCGACGCGGCGGCGGCCCCCGGACCCCCAATTCTAATGTTCGCGCCGCCACTGTCCGTTGTCGTCGTCGCCGCCGCCGCCGTTCGCCGTTGCCGCCGCCGCCACCGTGTCCACCGCCGTTGCCGCGGCCATTGTCGCCGTCGCCGTCTTCGGCTTGAGACGGTGGTCTTGTCCTTCTGGCGTGCCCCCTGGACTCCTCCCTTCGAGCCCGCAGGCAGCGGTCCGCGCTGCTGAGCATTGAATGTTTTTTGTCCAACCATCCTGTGGTGTTGGGTCCTCTCGTTGAAGAGACGTTGCCCCGAGCTCCTCTCCTCTATTCCTCCTCCCCTCCTCCTCCTACCGTCCGCATGCGCCCCCCCGCCCAATACAGCGCTTCGTGGCCCCATAGTGAGCCCCACCGAAGGTCCCAGTGCTACTGTCCGCATGTATCCTCCCCACCCAGTACAGCGCTGCGTGGCCCCAGTGGGAGCCCCACCGAACGTCCCAGTGCTACCGTCCGCATGCGCCCCCCCACCCAGTACAGCACTTCGTGGCCCCATTGGGCGGCCCACCGAAGGTCCCAGTGCTACCGTCCGCATGCGCCCACTCCCACCCAGTATAGCGTTTCGTGGCCCCACAGGGAGCCTCACCGTAGGTGCCAGTGTTACCGTTCGCATGCGTTCCCCCCACCCACACATTTCGTGACCCCATAGGGAGCCCAACCGAAGGTCCCAGTGGTAGCGTCCGCATGCGCTTTCCCGCCCAGTACAGCGCTTCGTGGCCCCATAGTGAGCCCCACCGAAGGTGCCAGTGCTACCGTCCGTATGCGTCTCAAAAACAAAGTTGGCATTTTCACCCACCCAGTACAGCGCTTCGTGGCACCATAGGGAGTTCCACTGAAGCCCCCACTAGGACCGCCCGCATGCGTCCCGCGCACCCCCTTTTTGGCTTTTTTCACCCACCCAGTACAGCGCTTCATGGCCCACACAGCCAATTTGGCACTGATACCCACTCATTACAGCTCTTCGTGGCCCCATAGGGAGCTCCACTGAAGCCCCAAGACGGCCCGCAGGCGTCCCCCCCACCCAATTTGGCATTTTCGCCCGCCGAGTACAGCGCCTCGTGGCCCCATGGGGAGCTCCACCGACGGCCCCACTGCTACCGCCCGCATGCGTTCCCCCCCCACCCAAGGCAGCGCTTCGTGGCCCCATAAGGAGCTTCACCGAAGCCCCTAGTGGGGCCGCCAGCGTGCATCACACACACACACACAGCATTTTGCACGTTTACCCACCCAGTGCAGCGCTTCGTGGCCCCATAGGGAGCTCCACCGACGGCCCTTATGCTACCGCCCGCATGCGTTCCCACCAACCCAGTGCAGCGCTTCGTGGCTTCATAGGGAGCGTCACGGAAGAAGACATTCACATGTTCGGTACCCAGAATTGCATATGGTTGGGCCCTTTGCCAGGATAGTTTCCCAAGCATCCGGTGGTGTTGGGCCGACGTTTTGAAATAACGGTGCCCGCGTTTTCTCCCTCCTTCTCCTCCTCGTCCCCCCTCCCTCCTCGATCACCATCATCATCATCAGCATCATCAGCATCAGCATCATCATCATCATCATCATCATCATCATCATCATCATCATCATCATCATCATCTTCATCTTCATCTTCATCTTCATCATCATCATCATCATCATCATCATCATCATCATCATCATCATCATCATCATCATCATCATCATCCGTTTCAGCACACGCACACACCACACGCTTCGTGGCCCCATAGGGAGCCCCACCGAAGGCCCCAGTGCTACTGTCCGCACAGCGCTTCGGGACCCCATAGGGAGCCCCACCGAAGGTCATAGCGCTACCGCCCGCATGCGTCCCCCACACCCAGTACCGCGTTTCGTTGCTTCCTCCTCCCTCCTCCATGCGTTTCACCCACCCAGTACAGCGCTTCGTGGCCCCATAGTGGGCCCCACCGAAGATCCCAGTGCTACCGCCCGCATGAGTCACCCACACCCCGTGCAGCGTTTCGTGACCCCCTCCTTCCTCCTCCCTGCGTTTCACCCACCCAGTACAGCGCTGCGTGGCCCCATGGGGAACCCCAGCGAAGGTCCCAGCGCTACCGCCCGCATGCGTCCCCCACACCCAGTACAGCGTTTCGTGCCCCCCTCCTCTCTCCTCCCTGCATGTCACCCACCCAGTACAGCGCCCCGGGACCCCATAGGGAGCCCCACCGAATGTCAAAGCGCTACCGCCGCATGCGTCCCCCACACCCAGTACAGCGTTTCGTGGCCCCTCCTCCCTCCTCCATGCGTTTCACCCACCCAGCACAGCGCTTCGTGGCCCCATGGGAAGCCCCACCGAAGGCCCCAGTGCTACCATCGGCATGCGTCCACCATCCCCTGCGTCCTGCGACACATCTTGCTCCGCCGACGGTTGGGCTTTCTGGGAGGAGGTGCCAGCCGTCGGCGTTGCAGAGCTAGAAGCCTCCTGAGCACCTCCGCCAGGGATTGCCTGGTCGCACGTGCTCTTGCGCTTCTTGGGAAGGCGCTCTTGGATCGAGGCATTCAGCTCAGCTGGTCGGCGCAGCCAAGCCTGGACCTTCTCCTTGGACTTCAGCGTGTCCTCGGTGCCAACCAGGTCCTTCTCTAGTTGCGCCAAGGCATCCTTCTCGCTCTGCGCGCGCTCGAGCTGGTCGATATTCGCGAACAGGCCCGTGTCCAACGACAATTGGAACGACGATTTCGGGCCAGCGTCGCCCGCGCCGCCGTCGATGATGACCCCTCCGCCTTGGCGAGGCCCTGCGCGGCCTGCGGTTTCACAATGGTCGCGCGCGCCAGGACCTTGGCGGCCTGGCGCTCCTTCTCCTCCGCCTGGTCGAGCTGGCCTCTCAAGCGTTGCATTGCCATGGCTGTCTGTTCATGCTTCGTCTCCGCGTCCCGCCAGGCCGACGCAGCGGGCAGCGGGCAGCGGGATCGACACCTCCACCATGGCCAGGTGCGACCCCAGCACGGACTTCATGTGCGGGTCAGTGGTCTGCGCGATGGCTATCTTCAAAGACGAGGCCAAATTTTGGGATGTTGCCGCGGTGGACGTCGTCGTCTTCAGAATGGACTTGGGCCCAGCCGACGTTTCTGAGTCCGTTGGCGCCAACTGATTCTTCAGTATCGTCGAAACGAGCTCGCCATGGCGCGGGAGGAGGAGGAGGAGGAGGAGGAGGAGGAGGAGGAGGATTGTAGTGTAGCGCTGCTGCCCTTGAGGGTAGGCATAACCCTTTCAGATCGGGTGGGGCACGCAGGCTCTCCCATCCTTGAAAACGGTGCTCGTGAAGGTTGTGACGCCAACCTTTTGGTCCCAGAGCCTGTGCGGGGACCGTTGGAGGCACCGTTAGGTGTGGCGGGGGAGCTTAACGATAGCTCCTGTCTCCGCCATACCATGCCAGTGAGAGGGCGTGAAGCGTGTCACACCGCCTGGCCAGGGGATGGGCTGGCATCCCCCAGAATAGAGTCAAACGCTGATTCCCCAGAATAACGTCAGACGCTGGACTCCCCCAGAATAACGTCTGACGGCTTGCTACCCTGGTGGCGCCATGTGGGCCTGCTCCACGGGAGGAGGGATCGCGATCCTGTCGGTGACCGGGGGGCCCACTCCACAGCAGGGCGGCGATGGGGGACCTGCTATACAGCAGGTCGGGGCGCCACCCTGAGGGGGGGCGGGGGGGATCTGTGCCACCGCGGGTCGGATCGCCATCCTAGGGGGGATACGGCGGCCCGCTCGAAAGTCAGACGGGTCGACCCTCAGGATGAACGGTGCGGTTCCCCCCCAGCAGGAAAACACCTCGAGGTTGGTGGAAATCCCGAGATAGAAACCTCGAAGTGAAGCCCTCGACGGGAATGAGTAGGAAGAGGAGGTGGGAGGGAGGAAGGGACGGGAACGGGGGGGGGGGCGGGGAGGGTGAGAGGGGCACGTGAGAGTGTGCAGGACTACCGGCCTTGCCGCCGGGTGCGTCCTTGAGGCAACTGCCTCGCGACAAGGGCCAGCGTGCAGGGTCTGAGGATGCACGTGGCCCGGTCTGGCCGCCAGGGGGTGGCGGAATATGGAGGGAGGAGAAGGGATGATGGGGACACATATGGGTGTGCAGGACTACCGGCCTTGCCGCCTGGTGCGTCCTCGAGGCAACTGCCTCGCGACAAGGGCCAGCGTGCAGGGTCTGAGGATGCACGTGGCCTGGTCTGGCCGCCAGGAGGGGGTGGCGGAATATGGAGGGAAGAGAGGGGATGAGGGAGACACGTAAAGGTGTGCAGGACTACCGGCCTTGCCGCCGGGTGCGTCCTTGAGGCAACTGCCTCGCGACAAGGGCCAGCGTGCAAGGTCTGGCCGCCAGGGGGTGGCGGAATATGGAGGGAGGAAAGGGGATGAGGGGGACGCTGCATGGGTGTGCAGGACTACCGGTCTTGCCGCCGGGTGCGTCCTTGAGGCAACTGCCTCGCAACAAGGGCCAGCGTGCAGGGTCTGAGGATGCACGTGGCCCAGTCTGGCCGCCATGGGGTGGCGGAGTATGGAGGGAAGAGAGGGGATGAGGGGGACGCGTATGGGTGTGCAGGACTACCGGCCTTGCCGCCGGGTGCGTCCTTGAGGCAACTGCCTCGCAACAAGGGCCAGCGTGCAGGGTCTGAGGATGCACGTGGCCCAGTCTGGCCGCCATGGGGTGGCGGAGTATGGAGGGAAGAGAGGGGATGAGGGGGACGCGTATGGGTGTGCAGGACTACCGGCCTTGCCGCCGGGTGCGTCCTTGAGGCAACTGCCTCGCGACAAGGGCCAGCGTGCAGGGTCTGAGGATGCACGTGGCCCGGTCTGGCCGCCAGGGGGTGCCGGAATATGGAAGGAAGAGAGTGGATAAGGGGCACACGTCAGGGTGTGCAGGACTACCGGCCTTGCCGCCGGTTGCGTCCTTGAGGCAACTGCCTCGCGACAAGGGCCAGCGTGCTGGATCTGAGGATGCACGTGGCCCGGTCTGGCCGCCAGGGGGTGGCGGAATATGGAGGGAGGAGAGGGGATGATGGGGACACGTATGGGTGTGCAGGACTACCGGCCTTGCCGCCGGTTGCGTCCTTGAGGCAACTGCCTCGCAACAAGGGCCAGCGTGCAGGGTCTGAGGATGCACGTGGCCCGGTCTGGCCGCCAGGAGGGGGTGGCGGAATATGAAGGGAGGAGAGGGGATGAGGGGGACGCGCATGGGTGTGCAGGACTACCGGCCTTGCCGCCAGTTGCGTCCTTGAGGCAACTGCCTCGCGACAAGGGCCAGCGTGCAGGGTCTGAGGATGCACGTGGCCTGGTCTGGCCGCCATGGGGTGGCGGAGTATGGAGGGAAGAGAGGGGATGAAGGGCACAGGTAAGGGTGTGCAGGACTACCGGCCTTGCCGCCGGTTGCGTCCTTGAGGCAACTGCCTCGCGACAAGGGCCAGCGTGCAGGGTCTGAGGATGCACGTGGCCCGGTCTGGCCGCCGGGGGGTGGCGGAATATGGAGGGAGGAGAGGGGATGAGGGGGACGCGTATGGGTGTGCAGGACTACCGGCCTTGCCGCCGGCTGCGTCCTTGAGGCAACTGCCTCGCGACTGAAGTAAAGTGCCGAATCTAAAGATTCACACAAACCGGCGGGGTCCCACTAGACATAGTGTGAATGACGACACTCCGACTTGTTCGAATGAAAATTGACAAAACAAGCGCCGGCATTTTCTCCGGGCAGTGTCATGGAGGCGCATGCCTCCTAAGGAAGGTGTGTAGGATCGCCAGTATTGCTGGCAGGCTCCTGGAGGATAATTCCTCTGGCTGCCTCGTTGAGACCATCTGGCGGAGCCGACCGGCAGCTGGTGTCGACCACGCTCAGGAAGGCCATGCTTAGACTGTCACTGGCGAAACGTGTTCCCCCAGGGTGACCACCCAGGCGGGGCCTGTGGCTCTCCGACCCGAACCTGCAAGGTGGGCAATAGAAGCACTGCTGGAGGAGGTCCGGTCTGGGTCGACGCATCCTCCTTGTGCTGGGAGGGCACTTGAGCGTGCCTCTTGCCACTGTCGCCCCGCTGTTCACACCCCTGGGGGCTCGGCTGGGGTGCTCGTCGGGCGTGGGGAATCCACGCCCTTAGTGGCGCCCCGTGCGTCCCCAGCCGACTCCCCCAGAGGAGTATAGAACAGCATTGGCACGGGGAGGAGGAGGGAGGAGGAGGGAGGAGGAGGAGGAGGAGGAGGAGGAGGAGGGGACGACAACGGAGAACGGGTCCTCCTGGGAAGAAGCAGTCGCACTTGCCTCCTGCAAACTCCAAAGGTTCCAAAGGTTCCGAAGGTTCCACATGTGTGATCATTATATTCAAAGGTTCCAAAGCCGCCGCACTTCGAGCAAAGTCTGGACATCCTCGGCCGCCACAAAGAACAGCTTCAGAAGGACATTTGTCGCTGCGGCGCCCCCCAAGCGCTCTGTGGAAGCACCGAGGTCTGAGTTCCCTGGGATCCTCCAAAATGGAGTCTCGGGCCCAGATGTCTTGAGCCGCATGACGTAGGAGGGGGAAGAGGAAGGAAGGGGAAGAGGAAGAGGAAAAACGGGAGGAGGAGGAGGAGTAAGAAGTGGAGGGGGAGGAGGGGAAAGAGGAAGGACAAGAGGAAGAGGAGGAGAAGGAGGGGAGATGATGTCTGCGACTGCCAACTCTACTTCGTTTGATAGTTATGTTCTCCTATACTTGCAAGCTCACGAATGCGATCGGACTATAGCTTGCTCTTTGATATTATACCGCTTGTATCGGCACGGCCAACACACCAAAAACAACGGATAACATATGGAATTAAACGAGGATTGGGTTCCGAATGATACCGTTGCAAAGTATACAATTTGATACCGGGGTTATGTTTCTATTTGCTCCAAAAAAACACAATTATTCCGCATGAACAACTCCGCTTGCTGAAACAGAGACTCCGCCAGCCGAGTCCGAGACTTCGCCTTCCTCCCCTTTTGTCTTGTTCTCGATCCGGCTGATCTGGCCAGCTGATTTGGTGATCCGGTGATCCGGGGTCGCACAGCATTCGCGTGCAGGCATTGTGGTGTACGCCGCCGCTGCGTTGCACGCGGAGGCTTTGATAGTGTTCAGCTGATCCGGCTGATCTGGTGTTCTGGCCAATGGATCTATCTGGTGATCCAGCTGATCCAAGTGATCCGGTTGAGTGGATTGTTGATCCGGTGATCTGACGAGCCATTTTTTTGAACAAATCTCTAGTCCGAGTGCTTCCGGGCGCCTGGCCCCCACAGTGGAATTCTGAGAGGGAAGAGAAGGAGGAGAGAAGGAGGGAAGCAGCAACCATTTGCATGCAACACAGCGCCTGTGTACACTACAATGCTTGCGTATACCGCAATGTGCACACCCTAACGCCTGCGTGCAAGTACTAGGTCACCGGATCATCGGATCAGCTGACCCGATGACCGGATCAGCCGGATCACCGGATCAATTTGGCCATAACGTTGGATCATTGGATCAGTTCTTGGTGTATATTGGTATTGTATGTTATACGGATGGCGTGGTGTACGCAAGCGTCGCGGTGTGCACAAGCATTGCGGTGCATGCAGGTATTATGGTACACGCCGACGGTGCGTTGCACGCGGCTGCTGTGGTGACCATAAGCGGTGTGATGTACACAGGCGCTGCGGCGCCCCCAAACTACATAATTTACCCAGGAAAAGAAAAACAAGCTCAAAACATATGAACGCGGAAAGGAGAAGGGGGACCAGGGGATGAGCGGGAAGGCTGAGGGAAGAGGACCAGGAAAGGAGGGGAAGAAAATGAGATTGTTTAGGCGTTGGGCGCGTGCGCTCGGATACGAATGATCATAAATAATTGTCCTGCGTGTCCGGGATAAACATTGAATTTGAAAATGGTTGTGGGGAAATCTTGGCTTGTCATTGTCGCCGTTACCGTCCATGATTTGTGTACCTATTTGTTCGATTTGGTTTCCAAGAAAAAATCGAACTTGGATAAAACCGGAAAATACGGAAATTCATCGAGGGACAAACCGGCAAAAATGGAAAGTTGCGTCCCCAATTATGTGAAGATGCTTAACAATTATAGAAGCCCAGGTTTGTCTGCAATGATATTGAAATTACGATCCGCTCATTTG